TACGGACAGCTTTTATTATAAAAAGGACTCTCAGGTGTGTCTGTTTCCTTTTACGAGATTGGGCTGTGTCTTGTTTAAAATACGTCGCTCTATCTATGTAAACGGAAAAAGTTCATAAATTTTGATCATGAAGTATTTAATTTTATCGTTTATTGACGACACTTCAAACCCATTCATTATCCGTTACGGCTATATAGCTAAAAGAGGGGAGTTTGAAACTTATGTATGAATGCACTCTAATGAGCTGCATGAAGAAGAAATAATTACAGAGAACACTTAAACATGACAGAAATGCATTTACATGCACTTCAAACGTGACTTATTTGAAACCCAAACATGTGCAAATGTAGTCTTTGAGGAGCTAAATGATTTTCACAAGCTCTACAACGAGAGGAAAAAATGCAGTTGATCTGGATACATACAGGATTCCTGTAGGAATGACTACTGACACAAAAATATGTTATATAAATTAGTATATACCACACAAGTGAATAGTGCTTTTCGCGCGCTCTGATTGGTTAACTCGGAGGTGATTAGCAAGTACTATTCACCTCCGAGCAGCCGGCGCGAGAGATTTTAAAACTTCCGACCGCTTGTCACACATAAAATAGCGTTTTGGTCCGCTAATTATTCAGCTTGTGTGGTATATATAATTCACCTCAGTGTCGGTGAAAGTGATGGATATTTACCTCGCCGCTTCGCGGCTCGGTGAATATCCATCACTATTCACCTCAATTTCGGTGAATAATTGTTAAATATTGTTGCATCTTGTAATAACATAAAAAAGGCGTAAAAAAGACATACAAAGGCGTACAAAATGGTATACAATTGAGATAAAAACATTTTAATTTCTCCAATTTCGGTATATTTCCTCCAGTTTTGATGTAGAAAAACATTTGAGAAGATTTGATAACAAACTTCTCCATCATCACCATATTATATCTTTAATTAAGATGAAATTAAATTGTAAAGACGCATATAGAGTCAAAAAAATTATGAAAAGCGTGTTCTTCAGTATTTCAATTAACGGATGATTAGATCAAGATTTTTATCGCTTGATAACAATTTTTGGAATTATTTACTGTGGTGTAAAAGTGCTTCTCCACGCAAAAGTTTTTTAGCTATATATTTTTGTATTTAGATTTACTAGGTGATTTACCACCCTTCTAAAATATAAGCACATTTGGCATTTTACTGGCTGGCTTTACGCAGTAACATTTTCAAAAGTGTTTGAATATAATAAAAAAACGTGCTAAACTATAGGTTTGACCGAATTAAATGAAAATCAAATGAAAATTTAAAT